TAAAAAGCCAAGTGTGGGGCTTATGCAGAACCTAGGCTTTGAAATAAAATGCGTTTCTCCACAGCCCCCAATCCCCAGTTTGCTCCTATTTATGCAACTCAGCTGCTCATGATAAAGAATGTCATAAAGACAACATGGTGATGCTTGCTTGAGGTGTTAAGAATAGCTATTGTTAAAGAGATAACTTGCTATTGTTAAAGAGATAACTTAACTATGTATTTGCATTAATTAAAAGCAGGAGGAAGAGGAGGAAGCTGAACTAACTTTTATTGTATTTATTTATTTACAAAATGTATATCCCACCTTTCTGCCCTCACAAGGGCCACCAAGGTGGCTAACAATTTAAAACATCATGATAAAATCACATTTTAAAACCACTAAAATCAACCTCCCCAACGCACATCATTAAAACAAATTAAAAACAGAGTTAAACAGGGCTCTTTTTGTAGCAGGAACTCCTTTGCATATTAGGTGACACACCCCTAATATAGCCAATCCTCCAACAGCTTACAATAGCCCCTGTAAGAGCTCTGTAAGCTCTTGGAGGTTTGGCTACATTAGGGGTGTGTTGCCTAATATGCAAAGGAGTTCCTGCTACAAAAAGAGCATACAAAGACATAAAAACAGCAATTAAAACATTGGTAAGGAAGGAAGGAAGGATCACTGAGGGAATGCCAAACAAAACAAAAAAGTATTTGCCTGCTGGCGGAAGATGGTAACAGATGGGGCCATACTAATCTCCCTATGGAAAGAATTTCAGAGCTTTGGTGCCATAACCGAGAAGGTCCTTTCCTGGGTTGCCACCACCTAATCTCAGAAGGCAGGACACCCAAAGCAGGGTTTCCGGAGATGACTGTAGTGGTCAGGTGGGTTCGTAAGGGAGTAGGTAGTCCTTCAGGTACGTTGGTCCCAAACTATATATGGCTTTTAAGGGCAAGACTAGCACCTTGAATTGTACCCGAAACAAATGTGTCAGAATATGTTCCAGCCCGATTATCTCCAGGCATGTTTGCACATTTTCATATCAACATGAGCAATGTCTGAAGCCAGCAAGAATATCTCTATACAAAGCAGCCTTCATGGGCCTGATTTTTTCCCCTCTGACCTTCACCAGTATATTTGGAATTGCTGGCATTTGCCTCCACAAAAGCAAGATTCGGTTAAAAAGAGATCATCCAAGCAATGGTTCTCTCCATTACACATTAAAACTGTTCTAAGCAGCTGTATCTTCTGTAGCTTCCTGTATTCCAACTTCAGCACCAATCTATTTGGATCACTGTGAGTTGTGTTGTGTTCTTTCTTCACCATTGACATTTGACTTCTTGTAGTTTTACTGTTAAATTTTGGAGCTTGCCAAACTGTATCATCCTAGCTACATTCACTTCCTGTCATCATTAAATCCAAAAAGAAAGAAAGAAAAAGAAACAGCTCAGGAGGAAAGAGATGTGTAAAAACTGCCTTAGCAGTAAGCTGAAATTGGCAGAAGTCTCCAGTATGAAAATTTATTTACCAGTGGAGGGAAGTCCTGTGTGTAAGCTCGCTAAATAGTTACAGTTTGGTTAATAGCTTATTTCCCCCTATTTAACAGCATTTTTCATAAGCTATATAAGAAATGTAAACCAGAAATGGCACTATTAAAACTTAGAATGTTGTATAATTAACTCCAAGCTTGTTTAGAATCCTTTGTAGAATTAGTTCCTGTCTTGCAAAGCTTTGAATGGCAAACACATTTCAGAATAAGGAGAGTTTTCATTCAGTTCACCCATTTAGTAGCACTAAAAGTAAGAGTTGCTTTCAATAAACAAGAAACAAATGCAAAATGCCATGACATTTGGCCTGAATTTGTGTATTTATTTGGATAGTAACATTTGTGTGCATTAGGTTGTTTACATTTGGGGGCCAAGCAGGAATTTTAGGGGGCTGCCTCTAACTGGTTGTAAGTTGTTTCCTCCCTGCCTCTCCCCACCCCTGCCTGCCTGGGGCCAGGGAGGGCCTTGGTGGGGCTTCCTCGCACTCCCGCCGGCCTTGCAGGTCCACCACCGAGCCCCTGATGTCAGGGGGTGTGGCATATGCTAATGAGTTATGCTAATGAGTTCCCCTAGCTCTTTTTCTACGAAACGACCCCTGGCATCAACCAAAGCCTTTTTTAGTGCAAATGGAGGGGGGGGGGTTGGAAACTTTTGAAACAGCCTCCACAAGCTTCTTTCCAAACATTTACTTAATTTAGGGTTGCCAAGTCTGGCAAGCTCACCAGCGGGGGAGGCTCCTCCAGCTCTGGGAGCTGGCTCTAGATGCGCGCGCATGCAAAGCGCGCGTGCACCACCAGCACGTCAACGGAAGTGACGACGTGCGACGTCACTCATGTTGGGGGCATGGCCCAGATCGTCGGGGGGGGGAACCATCCGGTGACGCAGCCTTGGGGGGCGGAGTTCCCCCCGGGGCCCGATTCCGCAGCGGTGGAAATCGGGCCTTCAAAGCGGGGGTTTACCCGCCACCCGCCCACACTTGGCAGCCCTAACTTAATTCCATTGACCCCCATGGCTGTTTTGGCACTGGGGGGGGGGGATAAGATCGCCTGTGTCATCACACAACAGGCCCAATAAGGATCAGGTCCTTGTGTCAATTTTTAAATGCCTAAATTCTCTTCAAACAAAGATATTTCAGAGAAGAGCCTTGCTTCCTTAACAGATATTGCCTTCACTCTGTACTTGCCCTCAGTAATGTCGTCATATAGTCAGTTCATATTGGCAGTATTCTGGGATCATTATAAGTCTCACAATAGAGTACTGCAGAATGCCAAAGGGGGGCGGTACAGGTCCCCACAGATCACCTAAATGTATGTTGGGTGACAGTGGAATGCCTTCTCTCTATAGCACCCCCACCAAGAAAACAGGAGAAAATGTTTCCTAAACATGTTGAATTGAAACCTGTTTGGGCTATCAACATTTTTAGTGAAACCTATTTGGGCTCAGCACTGTATTTGAGACTTCTTATATTTATTCGTTTATAAAGGTTTTAGACAAATATTTGAAGTCCAGAAAAATAAGGTATGCATGAGACCTTAATAAAGAGCACAAAATAGAAAAGATAAAAAATACAACATCTGCTATGCCAATGTGGTACAGTGTTTAGTGTTGGACTAGGATCTGAAATACCCAGGTTTGAATCCCTCCTCTACCATGGAAGTTTGCTGGGTGTCCTTGGGCCAGTCAAACGCTCTCAGCTTAACTCACAGGGTTGAGGATAAAATGGAGGGGACAAGAGTGATGTACACCACTTTGGGTCACCACTGGGGAGAAAGGTGGGGTACAAATGAAGTAAATTTTTAAAAATGAAATTTTAAAGAGAGTCACACTCTCTGAAATTAATAGAGTTAAAATAGTGTAACTCAGCATAGGACAGCACTATTAAAGAAAGCTAGCTGTAGACCAGTGGAAGCAAAAATGTCTGTACAACTGGGAGGTGTGGCTTTTCCATCTCCTTGATGATGCCTATTAAGATATGGCATAATATGTTACACTCATAGTCACCTTACCAACTCCAAAAATATTTAAATTGTATGTTGTTCAATATAAATCATAGCTTGTGGATTAAAAAAATTAATGTGATAATGTTAATGTAGAATCATTTGAAAACATTGGCCTGTATCATATCATAGAAAATTTTCCCACCTACATGTTTTATATATTTTGTTAATGTTTTTGTTTTATTGTAAAAGCCATTTTTACCCATTTTTTTTGTCCAAATACCAGAACATCCCCATGTTGCCAGTGATGCAATAATGTCACTTTTGGTATGTACCAAAGTGTTGTCAGTGTATTGGCAGAAATGACACTGAGATCCTGGTGTAGGACTCCCCTTCTGCCACTAAGCCCCCTCTTCTGGCCAGCTGATCGGGGACAGGGACTGGGGGTGGGAGATTCCCACACTCCCTGCGGGGAGATGGCAACCCATTTTATGGTTTTATATTACTTTCTACATTACTTCAAATTCCATCCCCTTTTATTTATTATATTTATTTATTAAATTTGTATCCCGCCCTCCCCACCAAATGCATTGTTTATCCCCCCCCCCATAGATAGATCACAAACAGGGGCTATGGCATCCTGCTTTCATCATTGTGGATGTTCCCAACCTTTCAAATCCCTACTTTTTGCTGACTTGTGAAACTGCCTTAAAATGTTTTCCAAAATTTAAGTCTGTTGCAGACCAGAATGTCCTTAATGATATGTTGTAATTTTCTTTCTGAAAACTTTCATTTGTGGTTATTATGGGATTACATTGCATATTTATTTTAACTTGAAGAGAATTGAACAAAATTAATAGTTTTCAGTATAATGCCTCAATTTACATCATAAAAATAGGATGCAAGCAGATGTAGAGAACATAGCTTCAGTGTACAGATTTGCTGCACATATGGTCTAACCTACTCTCTTTGTTTGCCTTTGTATTTATAGTGAATAAGTCTTTTAGATATGCAGGCTTTACCAGTTTGCATTTTGCTTTTGTTACTATAGTATCTTCAAACTTTAAAGGAAAGTATTACAGAAGCAGGACCAGTTTAACAGTATGTTTAATTCCTGTATGCTTTGGTATCCTTTGATAGAGTTCTGGTTTTCATTTGAAACATGCACAGCTTATAATATCAATGTGGAACCATTACTGCAATTTTCCCCATAAAATTGTTGAGGTTTTGTCCGTGTTACTGCAAAAATATGTGGAGTAACAACCAGGCAAAATAATTTTAAAATCAGAATTTATTTTAAAAATCACCAGTATTTATTTTAGCTAAGTATCAATATCATGGAGTATGAAGTACGTGTGTTAAGAAAAATAAAGCAATCAGTTATTTATATTCCAGTAAGGAGAACAACCCTGTTAAACTCAAACATCCATCCATGTTGTTAGAAAGTCTTTCTGCTAGAGTATCAGATTGCATCAGAATTTTGTGCACACTATTGTAGTAACTCCCCCCCCCTTTTCTTCTTTATCTGGTAAAGGAGCTTCTCAAACTTGCAATATTTAAATTTAGCTTACTGCAGAAAATTCACAGACAAAGGTTTACAGTACCTTGGCTCTGGAAGAGGATGTCACAAACTCATCTATCTGGATCTTTCAGGCTGCCTCCAGGTTTGCATTTCAGCTTTCTTTTCTATAATGTACAGAAGGGAATCCTGTAGATGACCAGCGGCATCCAGCACTCATGGTATACTAAAGCTGTGCTTGTACTGCAGCAAACTTTTGAGAGGTTTTAAATTACATTACCACAGCTGCTTAAATTTTCCTGAGGAATAGCACTATAGGCTTTGGCTTCCCTCCAGTGTGTGTCTTAACTATAAACAACCAGACCCATTGCATAATGAAGGGATGCATTGCTTTGGTGGGGGGGAGTGAAAACATGCTTATTTGTGCTGTTACTTCCATGTATATTATTAGATTATTCCAGATCAGCAGACTTTAAAGATACTTAGTGACCAAGCAAACAACAAATAAAGATCTTTGAGGGGGGACAGGATTTCCTGAAAAGGAAATCAGTTCAGCAAAGTGCTTTCTAATATCCTTTCCCTTGTTTTGTAAAGTATTAAAAAGTGGTGAGGCAATTTGCTGCTACTCTTTCATCAACGGTCTTACGCACATGCCAATCATCAATAGCCATCTGTTTAGCAGACATTTGCCCAGAGGTTCTTTCATATTTTCAGCCCAATATGGTATGAGAAAAGATATGACCCAATCTATACAATCTGGGCTATCACTAGAAGAAGACTAATATTGCCGTCCTAAACACAGTTGCACCCTTCTAAGCACATTGAGTTCAATGGACTTGGAAGGGTGTAAATTGGCTTCAGATTGCAATGTAGACCACAATATTTCTGACTCCCTTCTAAAATCACTAATTGTTGCCCACCACCACTCTTAAGCAGAAGCAGGGGGAAAACTCACCAGCATCATGAGCATGATGATGTCACTTCCAAGGAAAAGCTAGAAGTGATGGCAGTATCTCTAGGCATCATTGAAGACTCTGATTTTACCACATAGTTTCTCACAGTTTCCAAGTGTTTCTTGTAAGTGACCTCCACCACCTCCTTGTGCTACCACCCCCCATGTACTGCTCCAACCCTTCTGCTGGTTGCCTCCATCTTGTTGAGGCCAGCCAAAAGCCTTTGTGGCGGAACAGTCCTGCTCTGGCCTTCAGCCCCCGCTCCACCCTGCTCTCCTGGGCTTCCCAACAAGAGGAGGGGCTTTTCTCCTTCTCAATTCAACTGCCGCCTCTAACTGACCTTTGTAGGAATTGCCCACTGGGAGGGTAAGGACTCCCAGTTTCCCTTCCAAGTTCTGAGGCCTTGCCTCTGTGTCTCCCACTACCCAGTGCCTGATTACTGTGGGGACAGGTTGCTGCCTTGTGCTCCACTAGGGAAGTAGCCACTTGCCAACTGCCATCACCTTCCTCCTGGTGCTCCTTTTCACATGGCATATTCAAGCTGGTGGAGGTCCAAGTGGGGCTGCCAAGTGGAGGCGGGGGGGGCGGGTAAACCCCCGCTTTGGAGGCCCGATTTCTGCCGCCGCAGAATCGGGCCCCGGGGGGAACTCCCCCCCGAAGCGCAGCGTGGCTCCATCACCAGAGGTGACGCAACCACGTCGATCACATTGGGGGCGTGGCCCCGATTGTCGGAGGGAAAACTCTATGGTTTTCCCTCAGACGATGGGGCCACGCCCTCAGCGTGATCGACGTCGCGCGTCACTTCCGGTGACGTGCTGGCGGTGCGCGCGCACGACGAGGGACGGCTTCCAGAGCGTGGCGAGGCTCCCCCGCCGGTGAGTAAAATTCACTTGGCAACCCTAGGTCCAAGTGGCACAGAAAATCACTACCAGGATCAAAAGTTACAAAGCACTTATTTAAAAGAAAAACTTCACAAGCATATTCTTAGCACAGCAATTCCGCTGTCCCTCCTTCTATACATGCCCTATCAGATGTTAAATGTAAGGCAGGGTCCCTAGCTTAGAAAGTTACAGATCTTTTACAGGAGTTCATTACCTTCAAGCCTCTTTCAGGTGTGCAGGCAAACACATGGTAATGGCCACCTACTCCAGACCTCAGTTAAGAGTTCTGCCTGCCTTGATGGAATCAGCACCAAAGATTCCTTCCTCCTTGCCTCCAGAAGTTTTATCATCCTCTTTTTCCCACCCACTTACCAGGTCAGGCTGGGTCAAAGAAGCTTTTAAGTCTCCAGAAGTTTCTTCCTGAAGTCCTTCAAGTACTTAATATCTTCAGATCTCTGTTCCCTGCTTGGGGGGGGGGGGGTGTGACCAGGACCATCCCCTTGGCTCTAGTCAG